TGTAATGTTTTGTTTTCAGAAGAGGAAATTAGCTCTTTTTGTTCAAAAGTAAATGCTGAAATTTTATAAATTTGTTTCCATCCTAATATTCTATCCTCTTGAAAAAATATTATAAAATTACGATATAGGTGGCTTCGAGTAAAAGTTGCTTATTACATAAAATAAATTAAAAATCAATAAAACTATGTCAGAAAAAATAATTAAATGTGCGAAATGCCAAAATAATGCGGGAACTAAACCTAATTGAAACGAATATACTATAACTTATCCAATCCGAGATAAAGACGGACAAATATATTGTTGACCTTGCTATAAAAATATTTCTCATTGTAAAGGTTGTCAAAAATCAGTCGCTAATCTGAAATTGCCACATAGCGGAAATCCTTATTATCCTCACTGTTCGGGTTATAGTTCGCAATGTGAACGCGTAATGAATAAAGTCGATTTTATTTGTTCGGAAAAGTGTGGCAAGAAACTTGTCGCGAAAAAAAATCAGGATTGAAAAGACAAATTAAGCCAAGGTTGAACTAAGTGCGAAGAGTGTGTAAAATTTTGAACGGAGGAATGAGTAAACGAAACTGGTTGTGAATGAATGAAAGAGGAAAAGCACCAATGAAAGTTTATAAAATTAGTTCAACCTGGTCAAGGAAAATGGTGTCCCGACCATAAAAGTTGAGAGGAAGGTGGCAAGCAAGAATATGAAAGAAAAAATATTGAATATCAAAAACGTTGGGAGGCTCTTTCCAGTGAAGAAAAATTAGTCGAAGTAAAAAAAGAATATCGTCATGGTGAAAATATTACTGAAATCGCTGCTCGTTCGGAAATACCGCCAATGGTGTTATACAAATGACGAGAAAAAGATAGTCATCGCCAGCATAATTGTCCGGACTGTCAATTAGACCGCGAGCCAACTGGCAATGATAACAACTTTTCTAGTTCGGCAAGTGAAAATGGTTCTAAAAGCAACGAACGGCAAGGAAAAGATGAGGACAATTCAAAAAACTATCAGAAGCAAGACCATAGTCAATCAGAAAAAAATTTGCTAGGAATTAACTCTACTGGCTTAATCATTGGTGGAATTGTGGTTATTTCTTTTGCCTTATTCGCTACTTTTTTAGTGATAAAAGGAAAAAAAAGTAAAAAATAATATAATAATTAAACATTATGAACTACAATAATAAATGTAATAATCACGGAACATGTAAAATATGTAAAAAGGATTTTATTGGAGGTGAAGTTTGCCAATTAGTAAATTGAAAAGAAAATGGGACTTTCTGCAAAAACTGTTTGAATGATAATGAAAAAAAATGTTATTGGTGCAACGAAATTTTTGTCGATTTTAAGTTTACTGAAAAAGAAAAACAAGACTTAGAAAAATACAAGATTAGGGAAGTAGAACATCCTAATAATAATATAATGTTTTCATTTTCGCGTGGCAGTGGTGCTTGTTTTCGAAAGGAATGTATTGGTCATCATCCACAACAATTAGGAGTTTTTTGTTCGAAAGACTGCCACGATGAGCAACTAGGGGGTGCTAATTTGGAAGGTTTGAAATATAAGCAATGAAAAGGTCATGCGGAAAAATTAGGCTGAACGACATGCCAAGAAAAGGATATTTATCGGGATGAATCTAAAAAGTTCCGAAAATGGCTTCGAGAGAAGTATGGCGAGGAGGAATTTGCTTGCGATAAAATGGCCGCACCAGGGGAAAAATATTGTTTTTATTGCGAACATGAGAGAAGCGGAGAAAAATGAGGTGACTATCGGAATAATGAAAAAAATTGAGTCAAAAGTTATCGGGACTACTGAAATCTGACTAATGATAAAAATGTTTGACCTAATGATCGGGACGACAATTCCGAAAATGGTTCATTGGTAAGTGCTGATAATGACAGCGAGGAAGAAAAATTAGTAAAAAAATTAATCGAAGCCAAACGGCAAGGTATTGATAAAAAAGAAATAGAAAGGTTGCAATCTGAACTACAAAAATTAAATCAACAAAAGGAGATAAAACCAACCAAAAATAATAACGGGCTAATTTTAGGTGTAGCAATGATATTTTCTGTTTCTATCCTAATTTCGGGAGTTATTTTAATTAGTAAAAACAATAAGAAGAAAAAATAAATATATAAAGTAAACAAGCAAAAACATTATGGTAAAAGAATTTAAATGAGGCACCGAAAATAAATGTGGAATAATTGGTTGCGATAAGCGAATTAATTGAGGGGAATTTACTTCCTACTTGGCTTGCGAAAACCACCACAACCGCAAATGAGGGCAGTGTGAGGCCTGTCAAAATCAAAAAACTACTCATACTGTCTATTATGATATTTATCATGGTAATGATAATGCAGAGCAGGCATTGAAAGAAGTAAAGGAAGGAATTGACTTTCAAAAAGAAATTATTGAAAAATTCTTTTCTAAAAATATTTCTGACTCTTTGCGGGAAAAACTTAACACGGCTTATCAAAAAGCCCAAGCAGCCGAGAAAATTATTCCGGAATTAGAAAAATTAGCCCAAGAGTATTGAGAAGAAAAATTAAATTGTGCTAGTGATTTTATTCAAGAAAAAGGAGGTCAGCAAACTAATATCTATGAGAATAATTTATGCGATAATTGTGGCGAAGAGGTAAGTAATCGGCAACAAAAATTAAAAAATAATTACCAAATTAATGTTTTAAATAAACTGGTTGCTTTTAGTCCGGAAACTTCTATTCAAATTAAAAAAGAAATCGGAAAGGATGAGGTTCGAAATATTGTTTTTGACCTTGCTTTCTGAAATGAGAAAGTAAAAGAAGACTATCAAGCACATGTAAGATATAAATTCATGGGGAAGTTGCCGTTTTTCAAAAGTAAAGAAACCGCAGAACAGAAACAAAAAAAGAAAGCAAATTTCCAAAAACTAAAACAGTTTTTTCAAGACAATCAAATTATGCAGATAGTTGACAAAGGTAGTTTTGACTGCATTATTTGGTATGCTAACGGCAATATTGAGGAAAAATGAGGTCCCCAACTGTCCGGATGAGACAAATTTAATTCTTATCGTTTCCATAATAGCACAAAAGGTCTTAGTCTCCATGAAATAAATAATGTTCTGAAAAGTTTAGAACAAGAGCCAATTCCGAATGAAAAAAGGGAAGAAATATCAATAGATAAAGATAATAATGAAAAGAAGGAAAATAAAAACTCTCTTTCTGATTTAGAAAGAAAATTAATTGAGTCTTTTTTTGTAAAATATAGAATTAAAAAGGTAGTTTTTAAAGATGGATGCTTAATCATTACGCATAATAATAATAATAATAATAATAATAATAATA